TATTATTATTATTATTTTATTATTATTATTATTATTATTATTATTATTATTATTATTATTATTATTATTATTATTATTATTATTATTATTATTATTATTATTATTATTATTATTATTATTATTATTATTATTATTATTATTATTATTATTATTATTATTATTATTATTATTATTATTATTATTATTATTATTATTATTACACAATAAAACATTGTCATTATTACCATTATTATTCATACAATAAAATATTATGCTTAAAAATTATTTGAAACTAAAGTATTCAGGAATATCATCAATTTTATTGGCTTTAAAGCCAATACTAATGAAATAAGCCAATCTTCCAGCTCATAGAGCCAATATATCTTTCATTACAAATATGGATCAAATATGTTGTTTACATGGTTTAAGATAAGCAGATGTTTTAGACCAGATGTAGGATTTTGTAAATTTTTTTTTCCTTTTATTTTAAAGCCTTAAAATTGATGAGGAAGTGATTTCTAAGAAGTTTACTAACAAAAGACAAAAAAAAAAGAAAAGATTAATAGATTAATAGGAAAAGAAGAGTATGATATTTACTATCAATACTTCACGATATCCGGACAATCCACCAGATGTTCCCGGTAGAAATTTTTTACAACTCATTATTTAAATCCCTGATGAGTTCATAAGGCATACTTTTATTAATGAATGTTTTTAAGATTGAAATTGTCACTAGTGAAAATTTCATCAATCAATTGTTTCGAACTATTTATCTCTCTGACTGAATAATCATTCTGTACCAATTCATTTCATTGAAATCGAACATTTACTTTAAAATCAATCTTAACATTTTTATTAATCATAAATTTCCTAAGCTTAGATCGATTCATGTCCCATATAGGCCTTATGGTACTCAATGCTATCATTTAATTCAATCCACCACTTCAATTGTCCCAAGTTTATTGGATGAGCATTTGCTTAAAGCTTCCGATAATTTATTGTCCCCTATCATTGTCATCATTGTCACCCTTTCCATTAAGACTAAATTTCCACTTTCATGATTTCCCCAATTTTGCTTCATTTCATTATTCTCATCTTGACTATTTGAATTGATTTTCAAAAGAAGGAAAATCGATTGATACC